GGAAAAAAAACTGAAAGGCAATGTCTTTGGAAAGGAGAATGGTAGGCTGAGTTTGGGAAGAGGCCACCTGAAACCAAGTTTAAGACCAGAAGTCACCATTGTCAGAAACAAAGGGTTTTTGTTTTAATTATTAATGTTGAATTAATTTATTTTTCAGACTTTATCACAAATGGTTATCATCGTATCTGTTTTCTTGTATAGAGCAATATAAAGACAATTTATTTTCTCCAGTTTTTTCCCAAAGAGAATCTTACAATGTTCTAAAAACTTATTTATAGCCTCTCTAGTCCCCAAACTAAAACTTTATAATGCATGGGCCAAAGTGGCAGAGTTTAGGTCCCTATCATCACCCATGCATTACTGACAGAAGAATGGCCCAAATGAGGATACTGGAATGTGCAGACCAAGATTTTCAATGCTGGGGCAGGGATTGGAAGGGATATTGTTGTTGGTGATAAGCAGAGGCCACTTAGAAGGCAAAGGCATCTAAGGGTAGATAGCAAGAGCCCCATCATGTGGATCGGACTGAACCATAGTCCCTGTAAAGATCTTGTTGGTGTAGAGAAAGGATGTGTGTGTGTACAGGGGTAGGTGTCATGGTCAAGAAAGCCTCAAGTCTGCAGAAACCTTAGTACAAATTAATAAGTAAATATGTTCAGTCATTGCTTCGCAAAGAATAAACTTCTTAGAAGATGTTTTGGTTCTCTATTCCACTCTAACAGAAAACACCACAAGTGGGTAGTTTTAAATGGACAGGGATTTATTCTCTTACAGTTTTGGAGGCTAGAAGTCTGAGTTCAAAGTGCCAGTTCTAGGGGCTGGGTGAAGACCCTTCAACCTTGGGCTTCAGCTCTGCCTCTTGTTCCTGGCCCACTGGAGCTGGAGGCATCTCTTAACTCAGACAGCTGCTGGCTGCTGAGGCTGACAAACCCAAGGTCAAGAAGTAAAATGATATGTTGTGTTGTTGTTAGTGCCATCAAGTCAGCTCCAACTCATAGTGGCCCTATGTCCAACAGAATGAAACACTGCCCAGTCCAGAGCCAGCTTTACAATCCTTGCTATACCTGAGCCCAGCATTGCAACCCCTGTGTCAATCCATCTCATGAGGGCCTTCCCCTTTTTTGTTGACCCTCCACCACTTGTCTATCAGTTTATCATACTGTGGCTTGTGTGTTGCTGTGAGACTGGAGGTTATGCCACCAACATTTCAGATACCAGCAGGGTCACCCATAGTGGACAGGTTTCAGCGGATCTTCCAGAATAAGACAGACTCCGAAGAAGGAAGGAGTCACCCGCTTCTCAAAGAATTGGCCAGTGAAAACCTTATGAATAGCCGTGAAACACTATCTGATATATTACTGGAAAACTTTATGAATGGCCCTGAAACTGGCATAGTCCCAAAATGATCAAGCAACAAGTCA